GAGTCATAGATTACTGGAGCTCAAAGAAGATGACAAAAGGAATAGCTAAGATTTACTGAGTATTTGCAACAAGCTATAGTGTTTTACTTGAGATAACTCCCTGAGCATGTAGTCCAACACTCCCTCTTGGGGGTGTGGAAACAGGTCTGCAGGGGTTCAAAGACACAGCCAAGCTGCAAGACTGCGAATGGGCAGAGGCAGAAGTAGAACCCAACGCTTCTGACTCTAAATCTACAGAACTTTCCTTCTGCACCAGTTACCCTTTCTGTCAGCTGGAAGATCCTATTATTTGATCACACCTAGAAGCTGCTACTTTTTTTTCTCTTTTTAAATCAAAGAAATGTGCTGCTTACAGTGAAAAATGCAGGGACTTTTGACTCCCATTTGATCACTTCCTACTTGTAAGAGTTCTGGCTTCTGAGGACTGCTGTGTCTCTCCATAGCATGACTTGTCAGCAACTTCATGGACTAAAGTCTGGCCTCCTTGCTTGGTCTGCAAGTGAGGTTGGCCCTGGTGGCTATAGGCTGTGCTAACCATCACTTTGTGCTAGTGCCCACCTCTTGCCCTCTGCTCTAGCATTGTATGGGAGAACCATACCTCCTCCTACAATAGTGTTGGCAAATGCTCACCTGCCCCTCTCTTAAGGGACTCCTCAGGCCTCAGCATCCACCTCACTTCCTTGGGGAAGCCATTTTGGATTCTGAGACAGGGCCACCTCTCTCTGTTACATGTTCTCACTTGCCTTTTGTGGCACTTATCCCTGCCATAATTAATTGGTGTTATGGGTAGTTGTTTAATTGACACCACTCTACAAGAATAGAAGTTCTGCAAGGATGAGCATGAAATCTTTAATGTGCACTTCAGTATTGTAATGAGGTCCATAGGAGGCACTTGATAAATATTATGTATTTAAGTGAATGAACCCTCTGGAGCCTCAGTTTTTCCTTCTGTAAAGTGGAAATAACATTGAGGATTGTGAGTGTTAACTTGCTAATTTATTTAAGTCATCCAGCTTTACGTGAGTAGCACAGAACGCCATAAATATGAATTCCATTTTAGGCAGCCCCTCCCCCTTCCTCTAGGACAGTGTCCCTGTGGCACCATATTTGTGGAAAAAACCTAAAAAAAGATGGAATTCTGTTCTGGATGGTTTTGGTGCAAAGTAACACCCAGGCACTCTGAGTCCTGGAGCAATGGCTGCCCACTGATGGCATAGGTGGCAACTCTCCATGAACCACTGCTTTGATGAAGCAGGGCACCTCACTCCCCAGCTGGCCAGGATAACAGAGCAGTTACTGTGGGCATCATTCTCTTGGGGTCAGAACCTTAAGCTAATCCCCCTGCTGAATTATGGAACAGATAAAACGACAGCAGCTGCTCTTAGCTGGTGCGCTGCCGGAGCTTGAGCCAGTGTGGATTTCAGGTGTCCCTCCTCCACCCCCAACTCCAAACCCACACAGAGCGACAAGGAGGCTCAGATGTGTGGGTTTTGGGGCCCATGTGGGAGCCCGTGGCCATGCTTCCCTGTGGAAGGAAACCGCCAGCTCCCCCCCTTCCCCTGCAGCTGGAATCCAGACTCCCTGCAGACAATGGATTCTGTTTCCTTCTCAGCAGGCTCTCCTGTGGATTTTAACTCTCCTTGGAGCCCTTGACCCTCTGCAACTTTGAAAACTCTGCGGGGAGTGTGGGAGAGGAAACCCATTCAGAGCAGAGCGCAAGCCCTATTTTTTTCCTAGCCTAAGAGGGGAGGTGGAGCATCTGCAGGGATGTGGGCAGCAGAGAAGATAGTAACAAACCCTTTAGGAACAAGCCGTGGATGTGTCCCCTTTCAGTTTATATGAAAGGGAAAGGAAAATTTTAATGCAATTTAAGGTAATAGAGCTGGTGTTTAAGACCATGAGTATGGAATTAGACTTGGAGCCAAGACTTGCTCCTTGCTCTCTGTGTGGCTTGGCTAATTATCTCGTCTTTCTAAAACGGTTTTCTTCTCTGTTAAGGGGTGCAGTTTTAGTCCCTATCTTACAGATCAGGGATCGCCAACTTTTTCTGAAAAGAAACAGAGAGTAAATATTTTAGGCTTTGTGGCACATACAATCTTTATTGCATATTCCTTTTCATTTTTTTTTAACAAACCTTAAAGTGTACAAACTATTCTTTGTTTGAGGGCCGTACAAAACCAGGCTACAGTCAAATCTGGTAGCCCCTGTTTAGGATTAGAAGATTAACTGAGATAACATATAGAAAATTCTTTACATTGGACCTACGGCATAGTATATTTTCAGTCAACAGTAGATAGGATGATTGTGCAGAAGGCTAATAAAAGACAACAAAGAAAACTTCAGACTTATTCATGCCGGAAGGTCTGCCACACACATGAATAGCAGAGCAAACATTTACATAGGAAAATGTGACTCCTACAAATTAGAACCATCCATAAGATTGTCCTTATTTGATTTGAAGCATTTGAAAGTAACGTATGGTCAAGAGGATTGGGGCAAACGGACATCTCTGAGGGCCAGCTGTGTGCCAGGACTTTTGCATGCCCTTCTTATGTGCTATTTCACAACATTCCTGTTGGGTGGGTTTCACTGTCCTTACTCTCGAAGAGGAGCAGAGGCTCGGAGAAGACCACTGTCCCTGGAAGCCAGGTCTGTCTGCTCAGGGCCTCCACGTTGTACCTGCTGCATGCTATAACCTGTGACTTGTGACTCCAACGCCCATTCTCTTTCTAATGCACTTGCATTTGCATCAATTTTGCCTTTGACTCTGGAATAGAAGGCTACCTACTGAATGGAATTTAATGAGTAGTTCAAAGGCCATTCCTAGTTGTGTGTCTCTTGTGTGCCAACCCCTGGGCTACACACTAGAATCAGAAGCCAAAAAGCATATGAAGAGCTCAGTGTCTAGCACGACACATACCACCTCCATAACTAGTGATAACACATTATGAAAGTATTCTGTTAGTATTGCTTGGCAGAAGATTCCCTGAGTCAATCTTTTTTTAGGAAGCCATGTCAACAGTGCCTGGATTTGTATTAAAAAATCCAACTCTGATCCTATCACAATTTGCTCACTCCAGTATAAAATCTTCATCAGTCCCTATTGCCCATGGACTAAAGTTCAAACGTCTTGGATCACATTCTAGCCTTTATACCAAAGTTTGCTAGTGGGTGTGCTATACACGCTTGTAACCAGTCTTGTCCATTTTTTCTTCTGTTCACCCCAGGTATGACCATTAGTCTACATGTAGCTCGATCTGAAGCAGTTGGGTATCACTGTCTTTTACAACCTGTCCCAGTGTCCCTCAGTTATACCAGAGTCCCTCGCGTCTGTCTGCTGTTCCTTTTACCTTCGCTGCATGTTTCAACTTCTGCATCTTACTCGTATGTGCGAATCTTACCCTACTGCTTGGACCACTTCTGCATAGTATGCAAATTCCTTCAAAGAATAGCCCAGAAGTTATCCCTTTCATGAAGAATTCCCTGAGTTCATTGCCTTTGAATTTTAAATGCATTTTGTCTTTTCTTATGGTGCCTGCCACTTGTTCCCTGTCTTCTAGTGAAAGACTGCGGATTGAGGCAGGCACACAGTGGGGTTCCAGTGGCCAGCCTACCTGCTCTCCCTGCTCCATTTGTGGAATCTTAAGAAAATTAAATCAGTAGTTCTCAAGTGTGGCTGCACATTAGATTTGCCTGAAGAGGTTTTCTGTGTTGTTTCTCAATTTGGTTTTGTTCTTTAACGTAATGATGACCAAGCCATAACCCAGATCAGTTGAAGTGGAATCTCTAGAGGGTGGGCGCCAGTTGAAAGGTCCCCAGGTGACTCCCATACACAGCCAAGGTTGAGAGTCACTGCTTTAAACAATCTGAGCCTTGTTTCCAGGGCTGTGGTGAAAATTAAAAGCAATGTTTACAAAAGCTTGGCTCAGTGCCTGGCGCATTGTGAGTGTGCAATAACTGTAAATTATTGTCTCACATTCTCCCTGGCTTTGCACTTCATTGCCAACAATGTCTTGCACACAGTAGGTAGGTACTGGTTGAATCAAACACTGCTACCTGGGTGGGTGGGGTGGGGGCAATGTGGTGAGGGCTAAGGGAAAACCCCAGCAGACAGCTGCAGGGAACTGGCCTCGGTGGGAAACTGAAGGCTGTGCCTGGGGATAGCAGAGGGACAAGTGGTCTATCTGGGTGCAGATAGTGTGGTGGGGGGAGGTAGGGTTGCCCATTGTCTTCACAGGATTTAAAAACAATAATAAAGCCACAAAGTTGGCCTTTTAATTACCACTATGCACTGGAAATTGTTAACAATTCCAATGATAGAATGCTGCTTTCAGGAGCATACTTCTCTTGTACCCCCCGCCCCCACACACACCTTGGTACACCACTGGCCTAGAGCCCAGCAAGAAAGGGCTGAAGAGCTCTTAGAGTCAGCACTATTAATGAGCTAAATGTCTTGAGAAAGAAACAAGGGAACTGTAAATTATATTTATAAATTAAGTCATATAAAGCTGAACTAAGTAATTAAACTGTGCACCCGTAATTAAATTCTTGTATAATATTTGGGCCCTGAGATTTCTTCCTGCTGTAATAAACTAGCTTTGACCTCAAAATGGTTGGCTGTCTATTTGGGGGGCTGACGACTCATGCAGAGGTCCTGGGACAAGGTTGTGCCAAGGTCATTTTCTAAATAAAAGGATGATTGAGTGCTAGCCAGGGATGTGGTCAAAGGGCTGGGCAAGTGGGGAGTGGGGAGAGAGTCCCAGACCCCCGTAAGCGTGCAAATAGCTGCGTAGCACCCAAGGGTGGTGAAGGAAGGCCAAGAAGTGGCGCTGTGAAGCTGAGCAGAAAGAGAGGGCCTCAGACAACTCTCCTACTTTTATTCCTACGCTGCCCTTCTGCTCACAGAAGTCAACACGCATGTTTTGAATGCATCCCGCCTTTGACGTCTCTTGCCTCCCTCTTGCTATTATCTACATGTCCCGCCCATCTCTTTTCCTCACCTGGCCATTTAGTCCCTCCAGATTTCAGTCCTCATTTAGGCAGGTGGCGAGGCTGCCTCCAGCTCCCACAGCTGCACTGCAGCGCAATCCTCTGCTGAGTCTCTCTCCCTGTAAGATCCCGGAGAGAACAAAGCCCCTATTCTTAGCTCCTAAAAGTTGCCTGGCAACTTTTTTGTGCCTAAGACATGTCTACTAAGTGAATAAATAAGTGAGGGGTGGCCCTGTGAAGAAGGCAAAGAGGTATTGTCCTTCTTTTTCGGATAGAAGAGCTAGATGGTGAGATCTGGAGGCCAGAGGCTGTGTCTTACTCAGTTGAATGGTGCTCCGCAGATGGGAACTGCTTCATGAATACTTGGCTAGGTGAATAGGAAACAATCAAAAGGAGATAGCCTTTGAGAAATTTCCCTCATCCCAGCTCTCCACCCCCAAATAAACAGTGAGAATATTTCTAGGACAAGTGGCAGTGTGAGCTAATGCTTACAGAATACTGTTTTTTTGTTGTTGTTGTTGTTGTTGAAGATTTATTTATCTATTTTCAAAGTCAGAGTTACAGAGACAGAGATGGAGAGATCAATCTTCCAGCTCCTGGTTCACTCCCCCAGATAGCTGCAACAACCAGTGCTGGGCAGGCCGATGCCAGGAGCTTCTTTTGGGTCTCCTATGTGGGTGCCAAGGGCCCAGAGCATTGGGCCATCTTCCGCTGCTTTCCCTAGCTGTTAGCAGGGAGCGGGGTTGGAAGTGGAGCAGCTGGAACTTGAACCGGCAGCCAAATGGAATGCTGGTGTCACAGGTGGAGGCTTTAGCTGCTGTGCCACAATGCCGGCCCTACAACACTGTTTTTATTAGCAAAAATATGGGGAGGGCAAGAAATGCACCCCAGATCTAAGGTGGAAGTGAGATTTGTGGGAATGGGGAGAGGTGGAGGGAGGAGGCAGGTGAGAGGGGTGTGGAAGCCTGGGAGGTCCAGGTGTGGGAGTTCAGAAGCCGGTGAAGACTGGGATGAAAAGAGATCTAGAGCAGCCCAAAGGGGCAGTGTGGGCTGACTGATAAGCTTACAAATGATAAGGAGATGCTTCAAGGCTGACAGAAAGATGGGGAGAAAACTGGGAGGTGTTGATGGAAATCCTGGGGTGAGGCCCAGTCGGCGGCATTGCTTACAAGCTGACCAGGTGGCTCACAGACACACTGAGGTCTCCTACAGTCAGTGGTTGAGGAACTGGCACTCCAGACACACAGGGAACCGACAGGAGAAAGGCTTGCCTTTGCCATTTGTTAACAAGACCTTAGGGAAGCTGCTTCACATCTTCAAATCTCACTTTCCTTCCATGTAAAATGGGAATCGAACTGTACCCACTTCTTAATGGGATTGTGAGTTAATATGGATAAGCAATGCCTTGCATACAGGTATATGCTCTATACTTATCAGTTATAATAGCTATCAGTAATGCTCAAGTTGACATTTTTCTGGCTGTTCCTATATTTTTCTGTTTGTTCCCTCTCACCCCAAGGCAGAAGGACACAAAAAAAGGCCTCTGAGGACCCCGTAGGTGGCGATGCAGGAAGTTAGAGGGGAGAGAATTAGTTCCTCGACATTTTTCCCCATGAGGGATTTCCTATGTTCATTCTATTTGTTCTCCAGCAAAGAGCAGAGCAGCCAGCTGTGACACGCCTCCTTTGAGCCTCAGTTTACCATCAGTGACTTTGAAAGGATTGGTTCTCTGATCTCTAATAGCCCTCCAGACTGTAACATCCCATGATGCCACTAAGTCTGAATCAGTCAAGGGCTGAGTGGCAGGCAGCGTGGCAAGAGCGGGGCGCTGGAGAATGAGGTGAGGGCCAGTTCAGCTGATCGGGGACTCCTGGTTTTGTGTGAGGTCAGAGAGCTGCCAGGGTGTGGCCTTCTATCTATCTCAGAGTCCCCAGGATGCCTGTTTATCCTGTATGAGGAGAAGGGCAGAGGGACGACTGTCCCAGAGGGCGTCTGCTCTGGTCACTCAGCGGCCGTGACAGAGACATGGGGGGACCCGGTAAGGGAAGGAGGTACTTCAGGAGGACATCCAGGGGGCCAACTGTCACAGGACTGCCAGGGGGAAATGAGTTAGGTGCTAGACCAGATGTCCTGTGGTGTCAAACCACCTCGCTATCAACCCTTACAGGCCTCATGAAATTGCAAGAGAACCCCTGCACTCTCTTGTTGAGCCTTCATATTCATTTAGGGCATCTGTAATTTGAGAAACTATTCCTTTCAATCCAGAAAGGCTCTGCTATGCCTCTCTCCCCCTCTCCGCGCCCCCACCCCCACCCGCAGATTTTTTTTTTTCTGTAAATACTGCAGCTCAGCTCTGAATCACAGATCAAAGCATTTCTTCTTCATTCATCTTTTGAGGCCAAATTGCAATTTATAATGTCTGCGGTTTTCGCTAATCTGTTTCCATGTCATCTCACTTTAAATCAACAGAAAGCAGCTCACAATAACATACTGAAGCTGCCCCACAGAAGCAGAGGGTGTAATCTGAGCCTGGCATTATTGAGTCTCAGGACCCACAGGTAGAACTATCTGGGGCCTTTATTTTACCAGGCATTAATCTTGGTAAACAACTTGTTTTGATGAAAGCTGAAAGCCAGATAAAACAATGAAAATTCACGGTTATCAGGAAACAAAAACGCGATCTCTTTTTCCTCCCACTCCTTCCTGCACTTCCAGTGACACTGAAGAGGGCTGTTTCCCTCTGAGGACGTGCCCACAGACTGTTCCAGAACCTTTAAGAACTGGACATTTAAGCGAGTCAGAATCTAGGGCCTATGAGGGGTCCTGGAGAGACACAGATTCTTTTGGTTTGTTTTCCTTCTGTGAAGAAAACATTGCTGAAGGCAGTTTCCTGCCTTCTGATTTTGCCCTCACTGTTCCTCTCCTGGGGACAGGACTGATATTGAGTTTATCCTCAGGTTTTTGGGTGCAACATGGTTGCTTAGCAGTTCTAGGGTCTAAAAAAGGTGTGATAGATCAAGATTATGCAGCCAACTAATGGAAAACACTTCCATGGATGGACTGAGGTTAAACACACCATTGAATAAAAACTGTGGGGCTGGTGCTGTGGCGTAGCAGGTAAAGCCACCGCCTATAGCACTGGCATCCCATATGGGCGCCAGTTTGAGTCCTGGCTACTCTACTTCCAAGCCAGCTGTCTGCTGTGGCCTGGGAAAGCAGTGGAAGATGGCCCAAATCCTTGGGCCCCTGCACCCACATGGGAGACCTGGAAAAAGCTCCTGGCTCCTGGCTTCAAATCAGTATAGCTCTGGCAGTTGCAGCCATCTAGGGAGTGAACCAGCAGATGGAAGACCTCTCTCTCTCTCTCTCTCTCTCTCTCTCGCTGCCTCTCCTCTCCCTCTCTCTAGCTCTGCCTTTCAAATAAATAAATAAATTTTTTTTTTAAAGATAGGGTGAACCATCTTTGTACTGTTATAGACTGCATTTCTCCAGGAGGCTTTCGGGAGCTTAGTTGTCACTTAGACCAAGCATTGAAGGTAGATGATTTAGCATTTTCAAGTCCTGGGATTGCCTCAGGGTTTAATTTCATGCCCAGCTCCCCCCAGGCCACTAGAATCTGCCCTCCTTCCCCAGCACAGATCTCCTTGATTGGTCTCCTCCTGGGAAATACTTTAACCAGAGGAAGGTGGGTGAGGTGGTGAGGGAATGGGGGAATGGGGACAGGGTTGGCAGGGAGCCTGCTTAAATTTCCTGGCTCTGTCTCTCCTGGGAGGGAGATGCTCCGTCACAACACCTTGTGCTATATTCCTTTTGTGAGGTAAATTCAGATTAAAATGTCCTATATAAGGTAAGGGATATTACCTAATTTTATAGATGGAGACACAGAATCTCAGAGAGATTAAAGTAACTGGTTGCCCCTGATATACGGCTAGCAATTGGCAAAGGGGAATCTCCAATGCTCATCTTCTCTAGTCTGCTCATGGAGACCAACAAGGCTAAGGTTAAACTCATCACTGACGAGGCAGAGAGCTGGGTACTTGCAGGTAATGAATGTCATCCAAATCTCACCGTGGTGGATTGAAGGAGATGGTGTTATTCCCATTTCACAGATAGGTAAACTGAACTTTGGAGTGTTGATACCTCCTTCCCAATGTCACACAGCTAACAGGTGCCAGAGCTGGGATTTGAAAATAAGTCTCTGATCCTAAGTCCAGGGCTCTTTCTGTGTCACTTTGCTAGCTATCAGAAAATCAATCTAGAAATAAGGGAAAAAAGTCTTATGGTCATCTTGAATTATCTAGATTAGTGGTAAACAACAAGAAACAGATGAAAAGTCAAGTCTGCTTTTTTACAGAGATTGTGATGAATGGTCTCTTTAATTATGTGCAGTGTAATTGTGTTCCTTCCTACTGAAAACAAAGGCTACTTTATGGATGTGATATGTAAATGTAGTTGGGGGATGATGGTTCTGCAATGAACTGGACGTGGGTTGTCAGGGTCAGACAATAAGTGGACCAGGACAGGGCAGGGTAAGGGCAAGGTGGGGAGGGGTGCAGTGGACCCAGAATATGATATGGTAAAAAAAATAAATAAAAGCTTTGGGGATAGGCGTTTGGTGCAGAGCTGAGTTGCCACTTGGCGCACCCACTTTCTGTATCAAAGTGCCTGATCCTCTGCTTCTATCCTCACTTCCTGCTAATGCACATCCTGAGAGGCAACAGATGATGGCCCAAGTACTTAAGTCCTTCCACTCACTTGGGAGACTGGGATGGGGTTCCAGACTCCTGGCTTCAGCCTGGCCTAGTCCTGGCTACTGTAAGCATTTGAGGAGTGAAGGAGCAAATGAAAAATCTCTGTATCTCTCTCTTTCAAATAAAATTAAAATAAATACATTAATTTTATAAAAGGTTTAGAGAGAAGAAAGGCTTATCAACAAAAGCAAGGGTTGAAGACATATTGCATGTAAAAAGTAGAGCAGTTGATAGTCTCTAGAAGGTAAGCCCCAAAGCAAAGTTTTGAGAATCTAAAAACAAAAAACAAAACAAACAAAAAAACCAAGAATTCCCTGTAGATAATTTTATGTGCACACACCACCATTTTTTTTTTTTCCAACCTGAAATCTGGGATATGCACCCTTGGCCTAGAAGGAAAACAAAGAGGACTCGGAGTCATTTCATAAACTCAGCCTTCAGTAAGACATCAGGATCTGGAGCTTGTTTGCAGGTAGATGGAATGAAATCCAGGAAAGCAAGGACCTGCTATGGGGTCTGTAGTTTGGACCTGGAAGGGAAATTTGCTCTTGGAACTCAGTCAGAAGGAACTTGAATCCCCAAAGCCATGCTAAGCCAAAGCATGTTATACCTAAGAAGTAGTTGTCCAGCCTGGACTGAGTGATCCCATGCCAGGTAGGAACCAATGATTAACCTGAGACAATATTTATAATTTACTTATCAGTAAACAGCCTGTACT